CCCCCCACCCCCCCCAGGCCTGGCCTCATTAGTCCCCCCCCCCCCGCATAGCACTGATCCCCCTCGCTGCACCTTCCCCAGCTCTTCCCCATCCCCAGGGACCAGAGCTGGGCGCCGTATTAGTGCTGTGGACACACCATGGATTACCAGAGGGGCATCACGACCCTCTCCGTTGTGTTCGCAATCCCCTTTATCATCACCCCTAACGTTTTGTTTGTCTTTTTGACAGCTGCGGAGGTGGCAGGCGTGAAAATCCCCTGCTGAGGCTTTGGCCCAGATTCCATCCCCATTCGGCATCCAGTTCACTCTGAAACAGAGTCTAGGTCATAGCCCAACTCAGGCACGTGGACCCCGGCGTGGCTTCAGCAGGGTAGGAGAATATTCCTCCTCATTTCTAGCCCCCAAGCTTCTGGGCATTGTGCCCGTTTCCTCCCCAGAGCTCTTGCCATGGGTGCAGTCTGTATGCAAACAGCTGCTACGTTCCACCCCAGAGGTGGCCGCATTTCAGTGCTGTAACTCCTCTCTGCGCGTCTTTCCCCAAGCAGACCTACAAAGAGCGTCAGAGAGGACAGGGCGCCTCAGGATCTGGAGTCCCCCCCCAGCACGCTCTGTTGGGGCTCCTCATGGTGTCTCAGATCATCAAGTGGTATGTCCTGGCCTTCATGCTGCTGCCCACGCACGCTTGGCTGATTGTCCAGGACTGCGAGTGGAACGTGGTGCTCAACAGCCACGATGACCTGGGTGGGGAGAAGAAAGTCTTCCACGAGCAGCTGCCGGTGCACAGCGGCATCACCGTGTTTCACAACCTCACCGACTCGCCCGTCAACCTGACCAACAAGAACTCCGTGAGTCCCCATCCCCTCCCGCGGCCACTGGGGATGGAGCCCGCAGCCCGGCTTGCACCTGGCTGCTGCCTGCCCGGGGGCCTCATCCTGACTTGCAAGCAGGAGAGTCGGCACCCGTAAAGCGCAGAAGGTTTCAATCCTCTCTCCCTAGCAACTGTCCCACGGGCTTTGCTGGGGGCCACGTGGAGCTGGGAAGGGATTCATTTCCCTCTCCTGTTGCTACAGGATCAGGGTGCGGGGGAGTTTCTCACCTCTGCAGCACGGTGGGGGGTGGCTGCAGCCCAGGCTGGAAGCCAGGAGCTGGAGTCTGGGTTCGAAGCCTCCCTATTCTCCCTTCCCAACAGCACTACTTGGCCTTTCCGTACTACCTGAAGATCAACCTCACCTGCACCAAACAGGTACTGGCATGGGGCTAGGGGTGTTATTTGTCCTCCATGCCCTCCCAAGAGGTCTGTCCCATCTTGCTGGTCAATTCGGCTGCTGTGGTGAAGCCACGCCAGCTTCCCTGGCCACGAGCACGCAGGTACATGCTGTGACAACCGCTGTACATGGCCACCCTGGACCCCCATAGCTGCATGGACGGAGGCTTGGACCCCTGTGCCTTGGGCTACGGCAAGACCCCAAATACACTGTGTCCCGATGGACACTCCTCTATCCCAATCTGAACACAGGCCCTAACTCATTCACCCTCCTAACCCGCCCTGCCCCCCTGGAGAAGCAGTGAGCCCAGAGGTGGGCAACTGAGGGCCTGAGCAATTGCGTGATGTGCCTCAGAGGGGGACAAGGTCTCCAGCTATAAGCCCTGCACCTTGCCTGTCTTCCAAGCTAAAGAAGGGAAACTGAGGCAAGGAGCCAGAGGGTATTTAGGGCTGCATAGCAAGTGATCAGCAAAGCAGAAGCTCCAAGCAGCATCTGCATCCCCAGAGAAGGGCATGCCCTGCTCCTTCCCTCATAGGCTTTCTGGCTTCAGTTGGATTGGGGTCTCCAGGCTGCCGCGGGCTGGGCAGGGATCAAAGCTGGACTCTGTTCCCTTGGTTCCCCTGCACTAAGAGCATCCTTGGTCCCAGGACACTAAGAGCGTCATCCGCCAAGCTTTCCTCAACGGATTGAACCCGGTGGTGACCGTGACCTTCGAAGAGCCCATCGACAACCTGCTGCAGAAAGCTGAGCAGCTGCAAATCGAGATGGAAGCTGCCCCTTATAGGATCCCAGGTGCTGCATCCTTGGGGCAGGGCTGTGCTGGGGGATAGTTTCATAGTTTCTAGGGGCGGAAGGGACCTGGGCAGATCATCTAGTCCGCCCCCCTGCCATGGCAGGAAAGAGT